CATAAAGAGCTCAGCTGATGCGCAGTTGAGAGAACATGATGCAAAGTGGTAAATACTGAAAATACTGTTGTGTTAAACAACAACAAAAAAGCAGAACCGTGCTGAGACTGTTCAACAACTGGACTGTGATTTACTTCCAAAGCCTGAAACAGAGCTGATGTAGAGCTCTCTTCACAGTGACTGAATGAAAAGCAGCAGCTCACCAGTCCTGTGGTGCCAGTTTCAGCGGCTGGTCGATGACGCGGTAGGGAACGGTGACGCTCAGTGTGGCGCCGCCCGGCTGGATCTGGTCTTTGCGCCTCTGGAGCAGAACCTCGTTGTCCCGCTGGATGCCCTGCTTCTTCTTGTCATCTGATGTAATGAACCTGGAAACAGGGAGCTGAAGGATTCAGGCTCTCCGTTTGAGGATAAATCTAGTTGATGCTAGTTGTCCATCCGGCTAGGAGTACTAATCCACAGTATTGGTTCACTACTGGTTTCCATGGTCACCACAGTGCTGAGACTGCCCTCGTCAAAGTGTTCAGTGACATCCACATAAATACAGACTGTGGAAGAACCACGGTGATACAGCATTAGACTGCTGACATTGACATATTACTGAAGTAACTGGAGAGTTGGGTAAGACTCTCAGGTTCAGTATTCAGTTGGGTCGGATCGTATCCAAAGATCTGTGATTTTTTTGGATAGACTTTAAAATGCTGTTAGTTTATAAAGGTAACACTTTATTTGAAGGGGTGTGCATAATACTGACATGAAACAGTCAAAAACATGACATAACATCTGTCATGAACATGAAGGAGTCTTTATGAATGTTTATTACAGTTGTCATGACGCGTCATTCAGTAAATAATGACACTTAATGCAAAGTTGCTCTAAAAGTTGCATTAAATTATAATTTACAAAATCATGCAAACTTGGCATTTTTAATGGACTTTTAATGCAACTTTGCATTAAAAGTGTCATCATTTACTGAATGACACGTCATGACGACTGTCAAACATTCATAAAGACTTCTTTATGTTCATGATAGATGTCATGTTTATGACAGTGTCATGTGAGTCTTATGCACACCTCTTCAAATAAAGTGTTACCTTTATAAATCACTGAACAGCTTAAAGATCTGTTGATATATCAACCTTCCAAACCTCTCAGGTCTCCTGGAGAAGCAGCATTCAGCTTCTATGCAACACAAATCTGGAACAAACTTCCAGAAAACTGAACAACAGCTGAAACACTGAGCTCCTTTAAATCAAGTCTGAAAATCCACCTGTTTATAGAGATTCCTTTGATTAATAATAACTGGGATATTAATCCCTACATTTGATGTGTATTTGCTTGATGATGACATCTGACAAAATGTACTGTTTATTGCTCATTTCATAATAACTGTATTGAGTTTTTAGAGTGTAAAGCACTTGGAACTGAAATGTTGCTATGCAAATAAACTTCACTTGAATATTGGTAATACTTGGTTTGCAGCAAAACGATAAAATAAAATAAACATCAGTTAACATCGACTCAAGCATATTTACTGGACAGATATAAAAGAAGAATCCACTAACATTGACTAAAATCGGTGTGAAAGCTGAGATATTTTGTATCCCTACTTTTAGCTGAAGGTTATTCCGTGAGAATCTTACATCCACCCAGGTTTATGTTCTAGATTTCAGCCATCTTTAATCCTTAAAGATTAAAGGTAGTTCTGGGAGGAGCTTTTTATTGTTTACAAAGAAACACAACTAATCGGAACATAATTTGGAAAATTAATCATTAATAAACACGTGCCGGGGTACGTCGGGGGAAAATAAAGGGTACTTTTATATGTCAGCCACTTTATCTAAACTAGAAATATAAAGGTAAAAAAAAATAAACATTGCATCCAAATCAAACTGTTCTCACTTCAGATCCTGGAGAAGATCTTTAGCATTGAGCATCGTGATGAGGGAGGTGGTGGCAGCAGGGATGATGATGATGGGGGTTCGGGATCCTGCAGACAAAGTGTCCAAAACGAACAGAAGGTCAGCGAACGCATCACGTTAGTTGGTATTTACATAAAGAGCAGCAGATGTGTACCTTTCTTCTGATTTGGTGGAGGTCTGGCTTGTGAAACTAAAAAAAAAAAAATAAAAAAAAATACAGATGAGAAAAAGAGTTTTCAGAAAAAATATAAATCAAAACATGCTGAACATTTAGCATCATCTTGGGTCACGTAACTCTTGACAACACAAAGGCCCTCCAATTGTAATTTTATCCAGACAGAACACATTTCTATTTACAGAGACTGAAGCCAAGTTCCCTTTAGGTGAAACCCAAACTGAGGTCACTGAGATAAGAACAATCTCATCTCAAAAACAGCTCTTCCCTGAACTGACTGACTGTTAATGCAAGCAGCAAATATGTAGAATTTTCCTGTCTTTATCAGCTATAAACAGCCAGCATTTTAAGAACCACACCATGTTTAATGCGCTTTTACAGGAGTGCAGGTCATTTTATAATAATTGGAAAAAGTACACTGGAATGTTTATATGTAAAGCTTTTAAGTCGATACGGACCTGGACGGGGAACTGGCTGCAGCGCCGGGGTCTGGGCCTTCCGGGCTGACGCTCCTTCCTTCAAACAGAAAATAAAAACTCCATGGTTACACACAGCTGAACAACGTATGGCTTGTGTCTGAGATATGCAAAGGTAAACATGATAAACAGAAATGTTTTTGCTAGGAAAAAAAAAAAAAAAAAAAAAAAGAGTAGAGAAGTTAAAGAGCTTAGTTTAGTGTGAGGGGGAACGGACCGTCAGGATCACTGATGGTTCAGAAATGAGCATGAACTGCTCAAGTTTCAATAAATTACTCATTTCTTTTAACGAATAAAGTTTTTAGACGGGGAAAGAAAAGTCTAGATTTCCCACAGCTCAACCAATTTTAAGTTTAGACTTTGACTAGACCTCTTCAACCCCCCCCACCATCTCCACCCCCTTTTTTTTAGGGGATTTGTTTTGCCTGCGAAGTTCAACTAAGTAATTTGAATCAGTTTTGCAGGTTTTATTCACAGGCAGTCTTACCAGACTTTCAACACATTCAGCTTTGAGTGGATTGTTAAATTTGGGTTGTTTTTCACAAAGGGAGGGTTTTTAGGCAATGACAAGATTATTTATACATGACCATGTCTGGCGCTAAACATGAATTATTTTTGGGGTTCGGTGGGTTTGCATTGTTTTGTGGGTGGAAACTGTTGGTCCAATCTGGCAACCCTGACAGCAGGTGTCTGTGTGTGTGAACATAGTTCATCTGTAACTTAACACAAGGGGAAATTATACAACTTTACACAAGGCATGCTGGGTGGATAACATTTTCCCTTAAAAGCAGTGGAAAACTCTTTTCCAACATTTTCAAATGTCAAGTATTAAATAATGCAGTCGGCTTGTAGTGGTCTTTGTTTTCAGTAATCAGACAGGAAATGAGAGAGAGAAGAGGAGGAGGAGACGTGAAGCGAGTGTCTCAAGGTTGGGAGTGTCTGCCTCGGCGTTCGGAGTGCAGATGTTTACAGGGATCCAGTACGCTGCAGGATGCCAAAAAATAAACGCAACGCACCCACCCAACCACTCAGAAGAGTTCAGCCACACACACAAGAAGAAGGAAAAAAACAACAACTCTGAGTGCTTGTGAGCCATAATAAAGCTTTAATTCCACAGATTTTCAAACATTAAAAGTTTCAAATGTGAATAATTAAGTCAATGAGTTGTTCTTTCCAGTAGCAGACAAACCGACTGATGTTTTTAATGACTGATGTGAAGGCATGTCTTTGGGTGCGTGTTCTCGTTTTGTAACGAGCTCAATGTTAAAGTTCATGTCTTAAATGGTAATTATTAATCCTACTTCCAATAAAAAAACAGAAAGACTGAATGTTCTCATGTGGTTTGACAGGGTTTTGGTTTGTGTGAAAACAACCTGCCTGAAAAAGCAACAAGTTAAACTCAACTGATTCAGACCAAAGCAAACATTCAGTCTGTTTCAGTTTTCTTTTTTATATTGGAAGTAGGACACACACATCAGGTAAGCCTCATTTTTGAAGATTATTTTTATTAGTCATCATTTCCAGTACTCTCGATTAACTGGGAGTGTTAATGAACGTCAAGCTGCACGTGATGGAGCTCTGTTCTGATTTTTGTCATTGAAGATAGGAATCAGTCTTAAAAAATTCAAGACAACGGTGGTTCGACTTCAGCCTTCTGTGTTGTGGCCATTTTCCCCCCCAGTTAAATCTCCATTTATTGGATGCAGTATTTGCCACATTCATTTATCAAGCCATTTATTCAGTTTTTATTTTATTGCCAACTTTGGCAGGATAAATCCTTCATAAGAACGACTGAACTTCTAAAAACTGGCTAATTTACAGCAGACATAATTATTCTGGAAAGACATTAAGTAGAGACAGATGAGGGAGAAAGAGAGACGACAGAGTGCAGATGGTTTAATGACCTCCGTCTTTGCTGAGTTAACAAAGCTGTTTTTTTAAAACAAAGTTACAAAGTAGAGAGATATAACTGAGAAGGACAAGAACAGGAAGAGGAGGAGAGTCAGGAACCAAAAGAGAAAAGAGAGCCACAGAAGCAGAGTGATGATAAATATGGAAAAAGGAGGAACAGTAATTAATGTCTTCAACTAAAGCAAGAATTCAAAAATACTTTCAAATTTAAAAATACTTAACTGATCCCAAAGGGAAATTATATAACTGAAATTTGGCAAGATCTATAGTTAATCCCAAAAGGAGTAGAATTTTTTTTTTCCTGAATAGTTTTCCACGCTTACAAATATGCTTTTCCTTTGAAGTTGCAGTATGAAACTTTTATAAAAAATATAATTTTTTGCATACATGTTGAATCTGTTGCTATGCCATGACAGTAAGGTAAGGTAATTTTATTTATATTTTCAGCAACAAGGGAATTCAAAGTGCTTAGTATGGTATAAGACAGATAATCTGTAGAAAAAAAGAAATTGAGCTCCTCTGCCTTCCATCAGTGCTAGCTTGGAACAACCAATCAGAGCCGGGGGGCGGGGGTGCCTAAGCACTGTCAATCACCCTTTGTATGACGCTGCTAATATGACAATAAGGAAGGCAGAAAGAGACAACAAATTAGAGCTGCATGTTAGACAATACAAGGCCTGCAGTAAAGTTCAACACCCTCCTCCTTTCCCCAATTTTAAAAAGTGAATTTCAGATTCTGCTGTGGCCAAACTACTCACTTACCTAGTAATGGTGCATGCAGTGCAGGCGTGAAAGCGCCCTAAGCAATCCTAAGTTATACGTTTTTTTTAAATCAACATTTCAATCTAGTAAGCGTCCTGTGGTTTAACTTTGAACTACAGCCTGTTCTGTGAATTCTACAGCAATCACCCATGTGCTTCAAATAAATGATTCAGGACATGTTTCATTAGGACAAATCTCGAACAGACTGAATATTTCATAGCGTCTGTTTAGATTCTCCTCCAGCACAGCGGTTAGAAAAGTTCAAATGAAGCTGATCTCAGAGGAGCAGCACTCCTGTCCGACTAATCCCGATGTTGTGAACCACTGGGCAGGCCGGGCAGCGGCGCTTCGGAGCTGACCGTAAGAGGATAACATCGGCACAATCTCAGCACTTTCACGGTAACGTAAACGGATTAGAATGAATTTGTTATGCCAAGCAGATGTTGATGGCTAGTTGATAGGTGGTGCTGCTGATGGTGCTCCATCAGCAGCACCACGAAATAAAACTCCCTGTTAAGATTAAAATCGCGCACAGCAGCAAGGCAATGACAGGAAATCCCTAAAGGGAGGAGAGAATGTGAGGAAAAACATGCAACATGTTTCGATGTTTAATTTTAGAATGATGGTAGGACTTGATGTGCATGTGGGACACAGTCATAAAATAATGTGTTATTTTATTGCACTCTGTCTGTCTGGGGTCTTCAAACACATAAAAGGCATCGACTTAAATGAATCAGGACTTTCCCAGAGCATTTTTCACACAGTCTAGTTAGGATTTGACATTTTTACGGTTAAGACTCTAGATTTCATTCAATACATATTTGGGGAAAGACCAGACACTGTAACCGGTAATGTGCTGTATGATGTGACTTGTAACATACCTGGAAGAAGTATTTTGATCAACTACCTGGAATTTAAATGGTAATGCATCTGAATCAGAATATATTACCTTGTGCTGAACTAGATTGACTTAAATGAAATGTGGTGGAGTTGAATCAGATGTTCCTTATTATGACAACCTATATTACAATGACTAGATGGATAGATAACTAGCTACATTTTGGAGAAGTCATACTTGATGCTGATTGGCTGTATCCCCCATAGCAGAAATAAGGAGGACTAGATGGTAGCTTATGTTGCAGTGCTAATGCATATTAAGTAATATTTGGTGTTTGAACTATTAAAATAGGCAGCTATGACAATTTTTAGAGGGTATTAAGTATTAATAGATTTTAGCTCTTTGCAGTTGACTTTGATGTAAGAGTCCAGAATACTGGGGGTCCACTGTAAAATCATGTTTTTCCATTATTCCCTTATTTCTTTAAATTATTTTGCTCGATCACTTTGTCCATTCCAAACTACTAACTGCTGATTCTATCATTAGGCATTAAGAAATATAGAAATTCTGTGTTAAATTCTGCACTTCTTACACTTTTTGTCTCCTCATTCTTGATAGGAAAACATTAGCCGCTTGTTTGCCAACATGGTAATATTAAAAACACAAAGGTTTTCAGAGAATGCAAACAAGTAGGGTCGCAACTATGTACCTTGAGGTGTATGCGAACACACTACAAACGTAAGATCATTGTTTGTGTGTGTGTGTGTGTGTGTGTGTGGGCGAGTGACGGGAGAGGAGATGGAGTGGAATGGCACCTAATCAGTGCCCTGTTCCTTATCAAATCATTTACACACACAAACAGCTGCTTAAAGAAAGAAAATGCAGACAAGAAATCATCCTTCTGCCAATGTTTGTCGCCCTGTCTGATGCGACGCCCACCTTTTGCGCCACTGCAAACAAGTGTGGTGGAAACAGCATTTTAGTAATGTGTTTGGAATTGCCATCCAGTGATAAATTAGCACAAGTAGCTGAATGCCGACTGTAAGAGGTTTGAGCTGTCCTCAGTCCATCGTTGCCAAAGTGAGAAGATGAAACCAGAAGTATTCCCCCCCCCGCCCCCCGCTTTTTTAAATCCGATTAGGAAATCTAATGTGTTCAAAGTGTCGACAGAATTCTCTCCTCTTCCTTCACAGCATGCCAAATTCAGATCATACTTTATTCTTCTTTCTGGGGAGTGGGTGTGAATACAAATAGGTCAGTAGCCCAGCCCCCCAGCCTCCCGCCTCCCCTCTTTAACAGAGCAGCCAGCAACAGCAGCAGAGACGCCGTGACGTGCTGGGAGAGCGTAATGCCACCAAGCCTGGAGCTGCCTCTCAGAACAAACGCACAACTGACAGCGCTGCCTCGCGCTCCTCCTGGCCATCCTCTTCCTCCCCCGCTGTTTGCAGCCAGAAAACAGAGCGTGAGAGGCTGCCGAATGAGGGGAGGCAAGAGAGGAGCAGGAAAAAAAACAACAAGAGGACTGGAAAGAGATCGCAGGGAGAGAAGACAGCATGCGTGAATCAAAGAGAAAGAGTGCGGAGGAGCATGAGAATGGAAAGAGGAAGAGAAGCTGAACAGAGACATGAAGCCCGTCCGAGCATTGCTGCTTTGATTTACACGACTTGATTACGGTGAAAAGGACCCGCGGCTGCGGCTAACCGTCACCTACAGCCTCCTCCTTCTTCTTCTTCCTCCGGCCACAGGCAGCTGCAGCACGGCAGCGTCAGAAACCAGCCTCAGGGGGATGGGGAGGGGGGACAATGCATCAAGACAGATGGAGAGATTGCAACACTCCAGCTCTTTACGCACGCTCAGCTGATGTGTGGGGGGAGAGAGCGGCGGCTACACGACAGGCTGAACGCGTCGTTTTCCCACTCTGAATAGCACGATGGTGAAAAGCTATCGGTCCGAGCTGCAGCGAGAAAACAGGAGGGTTCATCATGGGCTCTGGACGAAACGAGGGAGGATGTGAGCCGTCCGAGCCTGCGCCGCACGGCTCTTTCACCAACGGATAAGAAGGGAGGAAAGACCAACGGGGTGAGATTTGCAAACCTTGCAGTGGCCGACTAGAGAATTACCTGCTTTTAACAGAGCCTACAGGATGTGAAGGGTGTGTCGACTTGAGAGGGAAACATTTCTGTTTCTCTGTTTTGATTCCGGCAGACGAGATAAAACTCTTCAGTTCTCACAACCCCCCGTCCTGGTGAAACCTTTCAGTACAGAACCGTTTACTTCTGTTAACATGAGTAAACATGAGAAGTGAAAGCTCACGCAGCTTCAGGCTGCTGCTGCTGGTGATGATACACATAGAGAGTCAGTCTTTTGGGGAATTATCAAAGCGATCTACAGATAAGAAAGTCACCCTGTAGGTTTTAGCTCTGAGCAACTCACTTCTCTCCATCAGACTAAGAGTAAAGTTCTGGTAAGCCAACAGGATTTTACTGGAAGATAACTTTGCCTAACTTCTTTTACAAGTAATGGATTTGCTGTCATCTGTATTAAATGTGCTAGAAAGAACCGTAAATTCATCTTTTATTTTTTTCTTCCTTTGGAAAAGTTCTTGCTTATGCAATGATCAGAGTTTGGGCCCAAATTCCAAACTAGGAGTGTTTGCAAAAGTACATCAGTTAACTTATGTCCACCGCTCTAGAGAACATGCAGAACAAAACAAAAACTACTGGAAAGGACATTTTTTTTTAAGTCAAATTTAAGTGCGAAAAGGTGAAAATAGGAATAAAAGATGAAGGTAAACAATCACTTACTGATTATAATCACAAATGTGTCAGAAGGGGGCCAGATAACTGGAGGAGTTGAGTGATTTAACAATAATCAGCGACGTATTTCTGCATATCGGGTCGGTCTCTGTTACTCTTGGTGTTTTCTTAAAGGAGAAACGATTTATTATTTCCTTAGCATTTCCAGGTCAGTGTTTGGGCCACATCAAGATAGTAAACCTTTTGATAGATCTGAATCTAATCTGGACTTTTGTAATATACTGTTAGAAACTATGCCTTAGCCAATGAACATACTTTTATTTAAAAAATGTAAACAATATGACAACTGTCTTTCTACATTCACTGTAGAATTGTAGTTTCTCACCTAGAAGCAGGTGGCTGGTAGCTTTACCTAAACAAAAGTATCATTTTGTCAAATGATAAAAGTCACATTTCCCTTTAAGTTGTCCACTGACACCTTCCATGCCCGGCTAGATGTAAACAGCTTGTGTGCATCACTGACAACACCAAGTACTTCTCCATATTGATGTGTGAAATTCAGTTGATACTCAGAATTTGCTGCTAAGTCAAACTATTGTTTAGAATTTAACTGGCTCAGTCACTTTAATGAATACATGCCATTTGAATAGATTTTTAACTTTTTGTTTTTCTTTTTTGAGCTTTGAAGTGATATATTTTTGAATTTTTTTTTTTTTTTAGTTTTATTTTTCCTTACCCCCCCCCCCAGAATCTGGGGTATTTGGGGAAGGGATATTCCAGCCATTACATTTCAAATTACACTTGTTTTTAATATTTTACTTCTGCAATATTCCTGCACGGTTAGACTCATTTGTTCTTCAGGCTGGCCAACAGTAACTTCTGTTACATCAACAACAGTAGATAATTCACAGCATTCAAAGTTACATCTGTGAACATTTATCAGTAATTTAATTTGATTAATTTGTTATGAACTGATTATTAAAATAATTGTGAACTAGGCAGTAATCGGCTAATTGTGAACTCACAGGCTTAGAAAAAATAAAACAGCTGTTGAAACAATGCGACACTCAGAGCAGTGTGGAATTAAGATTAAAATAATATTTGGAAAAATTGTTCTACCCAAAACTCCTTAAGTGACATAGATCAAGAACTGGATTCCTTAACATCTTTAATCATCTCCACTAGGAAAGTGTTTCTGAACACTTGGCTACTGTACAAATCCAATCGTCTCTCCATCAGTGAAGAGTGAGAGGAGTTCACGAGCTGATCAACAACTTTGGTGCCTGAACAGAACACTGAGCCGAGCTGGGATGAGTAAGAACCGTTAAGGGTGACTCATGGAGCGATGACTACGCGCTCCTCTGGGCTGCGCTAAAATTAGTGCTCCAACTATTCACCAAAACAAATACAATCTTTATTTCAACGCGTGGATAAAACCTCAGTAAAAGCAGAGAGTGGCCCCGATATCACAAAACAAATATGACCACTGCAGCATAAAGGAAATGCGTCCAACAACTAAAGCTTTGATGATATTCTGATGATAACTGTAACCCCTGTTAGAAAAGCCTCCAAAGAACCGCTTACCACAAGTCACACATTCTTCATTTGCATCAGCATTTTACCAAACAAGATCAGATCAGGAAAAAAAAAAAAACCTAGATATTCTTTGTTTTCAAGCTTTGCTGGCTTCGGGGTTGATGTTAGGATCTGAGCAGTAGATAGACCCGTGGAGCAGCAGACGGTGGCTCTCGACTGGAACAATGTGGCTTACATATTTAGTCCAGCTAAAATAGACCGACGTGTTTAAAACAGCGGCTCACTCAACAATTCCAGTTCATCTGGGATCCACGCTTTACCCACAAACAGCTTCTTAGATTTCTGTGTATTGTATGACAAGATGAACTGAATCTGTTCTCCAAAACCATGTTGCTCATTTCCTTACAAGCAAATTAATACTTCATATCTTACTTAAAACACAAGTAGCCTTTAACATTTACTCCCATTGTAGCATTGGTGTTTGCTGGGGATAACAGGTTTAATAATTGTTCAGAGACCAATGTGAACATGAATGATTGAGGTCTAATAATATAGGGGAGCTAAGAACTTACCTTTTAAATATGATTTTATCCTTTTGAGTTGATGATTTTCAGCTCTGGCATGGGATTTGACTGGATAGTTTCAAACATAGGAAGTTTCAAAGCAGTCTTATCCAACTACTGAAAGTAGTTGAAAAAGTAGAAAGCCCCAGTTTAGGCTAAACCTTAAATTTAGACTTTTGCATAGTAAAAGTTGCTGTAAGTAAATAATAAAAATAGCTATAAGTAAACTATTACAGTTCACTTTTAAGATAACTTATTTTCAGCGGTTAACGAGAAAGCTGACGGTTTCTAAATTCGTTCCAACGAGGCCGTTTCCTGTTGTACATCAAGGGCTTTGTGGTTTTGTCAAACAGTAATAAAGTAGTATGGCAAGAATGTGCAAGTTTAAGACCCAACTTAGAGGTAATGTAGGAGTTTTTCTGGGAAACACAACCTAAAATTTAGAAGATGAATAAAAGATGTTTGACTTTCGTACTTTCTAACAGATGCAACTAATTAGGAGGGCAATCCGAATTAGTTGTACCAGGAAAGAAATTCTAGACTTAACTGGTTCGTCATCATCAGTTTTTCTATCAATGTTTTTTTAAGAGCATCTTCAACAGTTGCATTTGAAAAGGTTGATGGAAATTCAAAATAACTTTGCAAAAAGGTTTTTACGCTCACTTGAGATGGTTTTTGGCTTTTCCAAGAGTCAACATGCTTAAGAGGAGGCGGAAACACATCTGCTGAATAAGTTCTGACAAAGCGAACATTTACCTCATATTTACATAAGTAGCTGCTTTTAATGTTGGCGTGCGTTAGCGTTGCATTTCTTTCTCCATGTCCATGGACAGCATGTAACATGACCAATACATGACAGAGTAATAAGACATTACTGAAAAGCTCTCTCCATTTTTCTGAGATGTGTGGTCCATGCCAGATTGCAACCTCTACTTCCTGATTATTACGACCATGAGTAATGTTGACATCACATTTTGTGTAACCGAGTTGATTGGCTTCAAACCAATAGACGGAAACATGCCTGGTTCACTTTATTTTGGCAACATTTTAAAAGTTTCTGATGACAACTGGATGCTGAATAACGAGGGAACCAAAATTGCAACATTTTCAGCTGCTGCGGTTCACGTTCACGTAAATGGTCTGAAATGTGATGGTCTCATTTTTGAATCCAAAATAATCCAATGCTTCTATACTTTGAAATATTTCTAAGTATCAACACAACTGTTACTTCTCTTTCTGTACCTATTCATACAATCATTCTCTTATTTCTTAGGTAATCTCTTGGTGTGGCCACATATGCAAGTTAATACTGCAGAGTGAACAACCTGACACAAACTCTTCACTTCTGTGATCAGAACAATGCAGTGGAAACGGCGCCACTGTTGTACGCACACAGCCAAGCTTCTCTATCTCCTCTCTCTGCTGGGATTCTTCGTGTTTCTGGTCCACCAAGTGTGGCTCCCCAAGCTCTCTGGGATCCCGTGGTGGAGGGGCTACCCTGTGGTGTACGGAGGCATAGTGCTTCAAACTGCTAGGAGCAAATGGAACGGCAGCACTGCGCACTCAGCGTGGAGGTTCGTGATCGTTCCCCAGGGAACGTTGACGACCAATGCCAACATCAGCGTTTCTTTTCATCATGGCGACGCCGGCTTTGAGGGTAATTTGACAGGCAACAGCAGCCAGAGCCAAATGGGAGCTCTTAATGCTAATCTGACCCACGGACCTTTCCCTTATGTCATCAACGAGCCAGATAAATGCCAACAGAGCAAACTTGCCCCGTTTCTCATCCTGCTAATTGCCACCGAAGCTCGTCAGGTGGAAGCGAGGAACGCCATCCGGCAGACTTGGGGGAACGAGAGCGTTTTCCCTTCCTTGGGATTTATCCGACTGTTTCTGCTGGGGAAGAAAGATGGGGAGTTGGGACTTCTGCAGCAGAAGATGCTGGAGGCAGAAAGCCGGAGGCATCACGACATCATCCAGCAGGACTTCCTGGATTCCTATAAAAACCTGACGATAAAGACTCTGATGGGAATGAACTGGGTGGCGACGCAATGTCCGACAGCGAGCTACGTGATGAAAACCGACAGCGACATGTTCGTCAACACGGAGTACCTCGTCTACAAGCTGCTGCGGCCAGATCTGAAGCCCAGGAAGAGCTACTTCACAGGCAACAACATGAGAGGCTTCGCACCTAACCGGAACAAAAATAGCAAGTGGTACATGCCCCCCGAGCTCTACCCGGGTGAAAGGTACCCCACCTTCTGCTCCGGGACAGGGTACGTCTTCTCTGGGGACCTGGCTGAGAAAATCTACCGGATGTCACTGAGCGTCCGCCTCCTGCACCTGGAGGATGTGTATGTGGGGATCTGCCTGGCCGAGCTGCAGATCGAACCCACGCCTCCGCCCAACGGCTTCCTGTTCAACCACTGGCGGGTGTCATACTCCAGCTGCAAGTACAGCCACCTGATAACGTCGCACGGTTTCCATCCCAACGAGCTGCTCAAGTACTGGCATCACCTTCAGAGCAACAAGCACAACGCCTGCATCGGCACGCTGAAGGAGAGGACGAGCAGGGCCCACTCCAGACTCCGGGACAAGCAGGCGCATTTACTGAAACAGTAGCTGTTACCATTGACCGTTACCATTTGACATTTTGTAAATAAATTTGCTTAATGAAAACACGACACCTTTGCCAAACAAATTGTTTTTTGGCAAGTTTTGGCGCTAGGATGAAGTGGTATTTTTGGTTATGTTGAAATTGGTTTATTTGACAAAACTCCAAAGGAAACACTTTCGCGTCACACAAGTCACATGATCGACAACCAGATGTCACTGGGGCAAATCACGAAGATAACAAGAATTGGTAGGAGGATCATGGCGCCGCATGTTTAAGGACTTATCGTGTGAACAAAGTTATTCATGTGTGATTTTAATTGTGTTTATGTTGATGGAAACTTCACAATTGAAAAATGGTTTGTTTCTTTTTGACAAAGGTGGAATATTGACAGACTTTTGCGACTATTTGTAATGGAAGCGCAGCTACTGATGGGTCCATTTAAAACCTCCTGCTCAATACTCAAATGATTCTCATCTGTGAACAAACCTTACTTGCTATGATATAAGACAAACAAAGCGTGTAAAACCTGGTAAAATCCTGTGAAACTGTTGCCATTTTTCAACTAATATCGTTTCTACTGGGCTGATTCCCAGCAGAACGTCCATGTACACGGTGCTGTGTCATGAAAAATAAAGGATGAAATGAACAAGCGTGCAGATGAAACGTCTCTGTAAAATGTTAACTCTGCTGTCGAGTTTGATAATCTTGTTGCTATGGTAACGAGTCTGCAGGTAGCTAGCTGACACATGTGAGAGAATGGACATCAGAAGTAATTACACCCCCCTCCCCCTTTCTGTTTGTTTGTTTGCTTCCATTTTTCTCATCTTGGCTGTGCTCTTCAGCTGCACTTATCTTCCTGAGATGCACTGGACTGCAGTGACAACACTTCGCCACCAGTGGGCACATAGAGCACGGTGAGCAGCACTCCTGACTCAGCGAGCCAACGGCAATTAAGCGTAGCAACGGCTGGTCAGCGGAGGCGCTCACTGTCGCTCTCATGTTTCCACAGCATTTGTCAAAATAAAAGAACCTGCGCAACACCACACTGATTAATTTTCAAGTGTGCAACACACAGAAAGTGAGGGGTGGGGATTGGGTAGTTCTTTGATGGGTTTTCTGAGTTATTTTCCCTTTGCTGTGGCGCACTGCTCTAAATTAAGAAGGTTTGATTTAGTTAACAGAACCGTTCTACCGCCGCAGCGCGGCTACGGATGGCGAGGAAAAGAATCGTCTTTTTGCCTTCGCGAAATTTCCGGATGTAAACAATAACATAACATGAACCGTGTCTAAACGTCATCAGCTAATGATGAATGATAAACTTGTACGTAAAAGTTCTACCACTTTTCCTACAAATGCAGTGGAATTTTCACTTTTGAGTTTGTTCACACTGCAATCTGTTAGCAGTGCAGTTGTTGTAATTTAACTTACTTTAGCTGCTGCAGTGTTCAGAGCAGCTCAGCTCTGAGCGCTGGCTTTAGAGTCAGCAAGGTCAGCTGCCTGTCTGCAGCTCCCGTCGCACCACCGGTAAAATTTTAGCTCATAGCTGAGCTTCAAGTTACATCGCTTCACAAAACGGGGATGTGCTCCACGGTGGAGCCTCAACCTGCGCAGGAATCCGCTGCTGATGAATGGTGGATGCTCCGGTCGGTCTGATTTGATCACCGTCACGTCATTCCAGATCAAGTTTAGATTTTTTCCTGCATACTTTACAAAATGCTTTTCGCTCATTCCTTGTCTTTGAATCTCGGATCATTGAGCCAAAGTTGTGAAAACTTATATTTTCCCACGGCGAAGCGCAAAATAACTAGCTAGTCTCAACAGGTTAGGCGGTTAAAACACAACGCATGCGCACAGCAGGTTGGAGTCTATCAGTTACAGCTCAGGTTCTGCCAGTACAGCAGTTATAATTTTTCATACAGATTTTAGTAAAACGAACTTAAAACAATAAGCGAGCATCAATGGAGTATTAAAAATATTTTGAACCTTTTACTACTTCTTACTACTTTTTACAAGCCTTAATTTGAGCTCATTTAATTTACTACTGCACGGAAATCCTGAATAAAGTTAAACATTTCTCATTTCTTGTAACAATGTGCCAAGGCTCTCCTGCCTCAATCATCAGCCCTGTTTCAGCACTGAAACCCTTCAGGTGGAAAAACCTCTTCGTGAGACTTTGTGACCGGATCCAGAAGCTGTTCTTACCGTCACTGACTTCAGGGTCATGCCGTGGTAGGTGCCCATGGTGTCGATTTTGAAACCCTCCGTTTCTACAAAGTAAGAAAGGGTAATGAGCTGCAGGTTATGAACACACAATGTAAGAAACTAAAATACTGATTTATGGTTGTTTTCCTAAAGGAGGGTTTCAGTGTATTATAAGCCTGGCGGGCCTCCAGGCTGCACTGGTGCCCCCACCAGTTCACCAGTTCATCATTTTTGTCCAGGTTAACTTAAAAACTGAGCCATCATTATTAATTTTCTAAAATACAGAAAAGTAATTGTTGGGGATGCACAAATATGAAGCTTTGGGCCGATGTCGATATCTGATATTAAGACTGCTGTTATGGCAGTTTTTACCAATATTTTACTTTATCAATTTTTTTATTTAATTACCTGATTTTCAGACTAATCCACAGAATACTCAATTACTGAAATAATAATTTACAACAGCCCTAATATAGACCTTTTGCATAAAAACAAGACACACAACATGGGATTATGACTCAATCTGTACCTGCCTTGGGAACCTTTATTAGCTGCTTTGACAATCATTATTAATGGTGTGATGGATGTAAATAAGACTCCAGTTGATGGGGCAGAATTGGCCGAAATTGTTCTATTTTGTACTGCAAATGACATTTGGCTTTTCTAAAGAAATACTCTCCTCAGTCTAAAAAAAGACTGATTTTATAGAATTAGAACCATGAAGCAAAGTCACCTTCTTTTCCTTTGAATCGCTCCTGATCGTATCTGTTGTAGGCGGCCGGGACGGGCTGCTTGTTCCTCAAAGACGGGTCCTGCACCAACAGAAACCACACTTTCACTCCCGCATGCAGCCGTTTTAATTTATTCGGACTGAATTCTCATGAAGTTTCAATGAACCTTTACAACGAGGGAGCTTCGTACTGCTCAACTGAAGAGATAAAAACATGTTTACCACTTGGGTAGTGTTCTGTGCTGGTCTCTGCTCTGGTGCTCGTCCTTCTTCTCTGGCTTTCACCGACTGAAGGATGGCAAAGATGTTCTTCGAGAAGTTCTGTAAAACACACACAATAATTAAACATGTAAATGAACATGTAATCATACAAAATGTTGAATATTCAAGAGCTATTCATTGAAAAACACATCAGCAAGTAAAGAACTAAACATTTATTACTAGAGGTATACAAGTTCAGAGTGTAAATAAAAGGGCCAGTTTATAAAACCATGTTTCACTACGATATAAACCATTATTTTGAGAAACTGAAGTTTCAGTTTATTAAATATTTGTGGTTTTAGTGTGCTACATAAAACACTTAAATTATCAATGACTAGGGAAAGAAGTTGAGTTTTAATATGGGAGTTTGTAATCTATACTCTAAAGAGTGTTTAAAGAAAACATTCATTCTTCAAGAAATTCTGAGTTTTATTGTTTAAAAGAGCTAAAAACAACTTGGAAAAAGCCATTAAACCAAAGGTCAGATTTATATGCAGGAGCCAACTGAGAAATTCAACTGAAAATAACCTGCATGTCTACAGATGCTAAAATAAGCTCTAGTTGATTTAAAACACTCTGTTTTAATAAACAGTTTATAAAAACTGTTGAACAGTTTTAACAAGATTGTTTATTAAACTTCAAGATAAGCCTGTCAGTTAAAACTGAGACTTCAGTTTTTGCCGCCATCTAGTGGCTAAAACTGAGTTGTTTTGGACTTTTTCCCTGATCTTGTGCAGCTCCTCTCAGCGTGGCTCTGTCAGCGTGGGCGGAATCGGCCATTTATCACTGCAGCATATGTGAAGCTGCTGTCAACTTCCCTGTGTGGATATTACATAATACTGATGCAGCAGAACAAACAGTTCTGCTACGTCTCTTTGCTTTGAATGCTTATCGTTCAGTAGGTCTCTTTGACTCAAGAGTAATGTCTGTCACTTTTATTATTCTCCCAAGGAACTAGCAGACATGAGTTGAAACGGTGAGCCTATAGGAAGAGAAAGTTCATGTTTATCAGCTGAATCCTTTATAGGATCCAAGCTGGCGGTCATGTTGCAGGCGAGTGCGGTTGGGATTTGTCGGGCGGGCCGTGTGAGGTCGTGGTTCTGACCTTCCCGGTGCTCTGGAGGATGGTGGTCCTGGTCCTCCAGACCCGCTCTCGGCTGACGATGTCCCTGGTGACGTCCACCTCTGCGTCCACGAAGCTCCTCTGCTTCAGCGTGATGTCATCGTCCAGGTCCGTTTTGATGGTTGAGCGTTTCTTGGCCATAATCTTGGCTTTGATGGCGGCGATTTTCTCCACAGACATGGCTTCGGACAGAGATCTGGACAAAGAGTGGGGAGAAAAAAACAAATAAAATGTCAGGTTTTCTGGAAGGCAGCATTCTAAATAATGTGACTTTTTTTAAGTTCATTATAATCTAATAAACGTTTCGACAGAGAAATCTTGGTTTTGTACCTGATCTGGTCCGTCTGCACGATGCCCTCTTTGTGGCCCTCCAGACGGGCGGCCAGGCGCTCCTTGTCCAGACGCACACGTTCTGCATCCTGAAGGTCAACAATAAGGATTTATATTTACTTCATTTCATTTGTCTAAATAGGAAAACATTTAAATAAGTATTTTATCAAAAAACCGGAGGTGTACAAACATCTGAATACGTGATCTCTTAAAATGCTACGAAAGACAACACAATAAATCATGCTTACTCTAAATTAAAAACATGACTTAATTTTCTTGCTGATGCACCTTATATTAAATTAATAAAGCTCTTTAGGTTCTTACTTTATGTTGTGAAGAAAATATTAATATTTTGTTATTTGTATTTTGTTGCCTGTATGTAAACAAACATGATGATGTCATGAAAAATAGACAAACTATGGATGGACGAAGCCTCAAATACTATACTTGAACAATTTAACACACTGAAGACATTAAATCTGAACCTTTGAATATAAAACAGGCTGCCGTAAAAATAAATAAACTGCCTTTTCCAGATGAGAAATGTAGCTATACACAAGGTATTATTCACTTTTAAAAAGAAAATAAAACCTTAAAATGTTTACATCTTTTAATACAGATAACACAAATGACTATTTTTTTAAATTATTTTCAGGTATAGCAGAAATATCAATTTTTATTTAAATAAATAAAATCATAGCTGTAATTTGTATTGACACCCTGAATTGATAAAAAAAATAAGAGTAATTAAAAAAAGGAAATCACTTAAAGCGTCAACATTTAATTAGCATCAATATAAATTCCTGTTTCAATGGGGTGTAATTATGATTGTAAGTAGTTACTTTTCAATGCAGCAAACACAACAAACTATAAATGAATGTGCAGGAAACTCTGACATAAAAAAGAACAAAATAAGAAGAGTAGGAAGGCTGAGACAGGGAACTGGTATTAGCATTAATTTATCTGATTTCACATGGAAAAAAATAAAACGGAACACAGAGAAACAGAGAAAAGTCGTGCCACATTTCAGCAGGACCAGGAATGTGTTCAACCACATTGAGTTTAGTTTCATTTAATTTAATGCTACAAAATAAAAAACGATTTGTTTTATCAAATTTTGAAGTAATATGCCTCCACCAGAGGTCAGGACCAATTAAAGCTAACAGAATTTATTTCACTACACAAAAAAGCTCTAAATGTATTTATTTATTTTAATAACATTTGAACTTGTTAATCTGCAGGCAATTTGTTACTTTTCATAAACCCACGTGGTTGAAACTCATCAATTTGCCTCAGTTACCTCAATCCTTGGTTTCTTGGCTTCAGAAGAAACTTCATCAGCTGCTCTTTTAACTTGGAGAGGAAAAAGAGACGAGTTTTATCACCAGAAATTCAATGTACAGACAATTGGAAAAAGCTCAAACTGAAGTTCAGACAAATTAATAGCAGAAATCTTTACAGGCACCACCACATAATAATAATAATAATAAGAAGAAGAAGAAAAAAGCTGCTATAAGCATACCTTGTGTTGGCCTTTGAAGCCCTATTTCTATTGGTGCGCTTCTGTCGATGCTCGTCGATGTGGCTGTAGAGGAACAGAAGTGTGTTGTTCATTACAGCAGGTCAAGTTTTACCTCTACTGGACAATCAAAGAGTTCCTCATCAAACTGGTGACACAAGCAGGAACATTCGACAGATCACTGAGCTTTGTGGAGATGTGGAAAAATCTGCTTCTTGGCACTCGGTGTGTTTTAGAGACACCTAGAGGCCACAGACCGCTATGACGGCTCCTTAAGGCTGCTGAAGGAATGCCTGTAAAAGTATTCACACTCTTGGATGTTTTAACCAACCAGTGTTTTACAGCTTATATTAGTTTAGATCTGATATTCAGGCCATCTCACAGAAGAGATGACTGAAATAAAAACAAGTTTTGAAAAATATTTTTTGTTATTTGCAATTTTTATTTTCTAGGAAACAAACGCAAGGTTAACAAAAAAAGCGATTAAAATCAGAAGTCAAATCTCATTATGCCAAAATGAATCTGCTTTTATTTTTGGGCCATATCTCCCAGCCCTATGCAGAACTACCCAAACTGCACAGGAAGATCAGATCCTGCCAGCTTGTTGACAATTAACCTGCACTGATTTTACCTTCTTTTATGTTACATGTTTATATTTGGGAAATCTACTTATTGTTAAGGCTGCAAAATATAAATATCCCAATATTTAATGATATCAGTTGCTGAATATAAGCTCATTTTCTTCTTTTCCTCTCTCATCTGTGCTTCCATCACCGTGTCCTTTAGCATTTGATCAATGTCATTTGCATCTACTGGTGTGAGACTCTGGCCAAATATTAAATAAGCATGAAAAATTCAAGTTCCTAATGCTTGAAATGTATTAGCTAACAATTATTCATGTCTTTGCGATGTGACCATTGCGGTCAATATACATCAGTCTTTCTCAAACTAGTGGTCTACAAGGTACTGCATGTAAATGACTATTTGCCGTGATGTGAGGTCAAAGTGTGATGCATACTGTTAGCTTACCAAAGGATTGTGTTTAAAAATAAGAACAGATAAGTGGCTTAAGACCGGGTTACTGTACAGGAAAGCTAGAGATACCAGAGGAAAGAAAACACGACTTATATGATCAAAGCAATTCATGTTTGCAGGAATGTTTTTCAATTTCTCTGGGTGAGTTGCAGAACTTTTATTTTTAGAATGCTGTTACAATACACAGCATGCTACCAGCACCCAGATCTAGGTCTGCCCGGCCTGGGGGCCTAACAGTAACGAGGCGGTGAGCAGCGGTGCACCCCACGCTCACTAACTGCATCTACAACACCTGAAATAAAATAAATTATGTCGAGCTGAAAGAAAACAAACTTTAGCATCCACACTTTCCGAATCCGTAAATAACTCCAACCACCTGCCAAAGCAAACTTGTTCATGGTTTTGCCAGTCACATTTACAAAACACACTCTTCATTATTGTTGTTTCCAAGGACAAAGAATACATTAATAGGTGCATTGAGAGCTTAATATTTCCATTTCAGGTTGCATGTATTAAGACGTTGTGTTATTCTGGAGGCAATTCCAAGCTACGCAGTCCGTCAGTGTTTGTTAAGAAAAGCTCAACAACTGGAAACGTAGAGTGGACTTTCCAGCGACAGACTATGGAACATGAGTAAATTTGTTCTCCTTTGCATAGGACTTCCCAACTATACAAAAAACAACAAAAGAAAACAAAACTGAACATCCCGGCTGAGGGTGGATGAAAGTGACTTATTACACATGCTACTTACAACTCTCGCCATTGAGGTAGGACAGCAATCCTTTTCGATCCGGTCGTCTGACAACAGGGATGTTCTCTGTCTATAATTAACATGCAGACATGTCAGGAACAGAGACGCTGTACACAGCTAGAGAGAAACTAACGAAAGATGCCAGAAGCTTTGGCTAAATGCTCCACTTACTGCAGCTCTCCGCACATACGAAGGATGCGGCAGATGCACATTGTTGAGCAAGAATAAAATGGAGTCCAAAGTATAGTACTCTTTAGGTTGGCCCTCCTTGCCAGTACTGAGGAAGAAAAAACATTGCCACTATTAGGAGCAAAGTTTATAAAATGAGCAATTAAGCCAATTATATGTTATCTACGCAGGTCTACAAGCATGAAGTTCTAGTTCTGCTTAACACCTAGCAACAGTTAGTGAATCCACATATATAGCTTTATGTTCAGAATATTTGCAAGATAAATTTTCCTTCGTAAACTACAAAATAGAATAATAGGCAAATATTAAAATAAAAGACGAGCATGTCCTCGCGACTTTATGAAACAAGTCAGAGCTCGATGGCATCGCTAATTTAGCATCCCTTCACTGGGACAAGTTTGGTGTGTTCACTCCTAAAATAACAGGAATACAAAGGAAGTGCAAAACCCACGCATTTACTCCAAAAATGAATAGTAAACTGGAATATAATTTCTGCTGCAAGTTACTGAAATATAATGCGAAAGCAACCAGCAACTTAAAGTTCTGAGCCCACAGAGGAGTTGTGTTAGCATTTTAGCACAAAGTAGCTAGCGAGCTTTACGTCGTTACGGAGAGGGAGTTACAGGCCTGGGAGAAAAGAGGTTTAAACGTGTTTAGTGTGGTGACATACCCCCAGATTATGTAGTTTGTCTTCACATTTTTCGGCCAGGAGAACTCTCCGAATATCACCTCATCCCCTTTAGCGACGATTTCCTTTTTCTGGATATTATACTGACGAAGAACGCTCAACACATCCGCCATCTTCACTCGCCTTCATGTAGTATGTTTACGAGGCCCCCCACATATCAACATCAAGCGGCCTCACAAGTTGCCTGATCCAAAATATACATATTTTTTACGAGCCAGGTGGGCTTCCCACAAGCTACTAATGACGCAAAATCTAGATGCAGATGCATTTGGATATAAACTATGTTTTTCTAATTTAATTACAACCTGGAAGCGCATAGGTTTGTCCGAGATATGTATCTAAACGCAAAATTTCCAACTTCCACTTTTCTGAATTGAGAATCAAGCTTCTTTATTTCTCACTTTGTTCACATATATCTCACTCCACACATTAAAGTATCTTCACTCAAACCAAAGTTCTCATACACAGTGCTGTTTGTGACAAAGAAAGCACAGTGGGACATAGGCAATTCTCTCTGAGGTCATGATCACTCTGCAGGTGCTTGCAGTGCGAGGGAGTCCTGCCTCTGGATCATACAGTGATTCATCTGTTCGGGATGCTCTGGATGATCTAAATCTATCTGGATGGGCTGTTTTAATTTAACCTGTTGTTCACAGGTTGTCATTCACAATGACAGGGGTGTCAAACTCCAGTCCTCAAGGGCCGCTGTCCTGCAGTGTTTAGATGTGCCACAGGTAAAAAACAGTGGAATGAAATGGCTTAATTACCTCCTCCCTGTGTAGATCGGTTCTCCTGAGCCTTGCTAATGACCTAATTATTCTTTTCAGGTGTGGTGCAGCAGAGGCACATCTAAAAGTTGCAGGACAGAGGCCCTTGAGGACTGGAGTTTGACACCTCTGTCACGAGAGGACCCAAATTTGGGTCCTCTCGTGAATAACAGGTTAAGTCATGCCTGTTCCTTTCAAATATTACATGCTGATGTCATTATTTGTACCAGCACAGTCACTGATGAATCTCTTAGAGGACACTTTGTACCTTGAGGAATCCCAAGAGGATTTCAAATGGTAGATATGTTCCCTACCAATTGGTCTTAGTGTCTTAAAAGCATTGCTTCACTCGCTCTCAACCATTTCTTGTCTTTAGCTTATCCCAGATCAGGTCAGTGGGATTTGGGGGTTAATAGAGGATTACAAAGGGTATATGCCCTCCCATGTCTTTTGGGTCTGCTCCCTTGGAAATGGATATGACCAAAACCACCAAAATGAGGTGTCCAGGAGACATCCTGACCAGGTGCCAGAATCATCTCAACTGATTTATCTCTATGGATTGTAGAAGCACCTGCAGTGCAAGGCTTTCTCTGGGTGAGGAAGTTCCTCATCGTATTTCTAAGGAATTGAGTCACTGTACGCAGGAAGATCATTTTGTCCACTTGTGCCAGGTGCCTCGTCCTTTTGGTTGTCTTTAACTCTGAAATAAACCATTTTCCAGTTCCAAATCATGGCCTAAGAGCAAGAGCAACCAATTCTTAACTCAGCCACTTTGTTCTCTTCATTCAGTAACATCTTTAAATTTCGCTAAATATCAACTTCCACCGTCTTACTTCACAGCTCCTCTCAAAAGTTGGCAACTCTTTACGGCAGAGATTCATCAGACATGAACACAGGGTTTCAAGAGCAGCATAAATGTTTATTAGGGATGGGATTACATTGCCACTACAATCAAAATGCTCATGTAACAAGTCAAATAACAGACAAAATGGCGGGAAAAGAAGTGAACCACAGTGGAGAAACTCTCGTGAACAACACCACCTCAATTCTACTCTCTCCTGTGAAGACTACAGATGCCGTAGCGACAGTAGTTATGGAACAGTTACGTCAGACCTTTACAGGTTAAGTCTATATGGAAAGAAAGTAAATATTGCCTTGACAGTTCCAGGGTTGAGAATCGTGTTATACAGCGGACCACACCGGGATGATTGACGAGTTTAGTGAGCGACGTCTGTAATTACTACAGTTTGAATGCTTCTGCTACCGACACAGTGAGCATGGTGGGATCAGTTAATGGTGAAATAGAAATCGGATTGCTTAAATCTAAACAATTTCATGACTTCAAAAGGTACATTCGATTTGATTCATTCCACAATAGTTGCGGTTGTTAGTTTTTGCAAATAAATTAAAGATACAGCAGTGCAACTTTAGCAGAATCAGTCATCGTGAACAGTTCTTCTTACCCAGCTACAATTAATCTTAACATGATGCAGTATTGTTCTAGTTGTAGGGGTGCACCAAGAAATCGGCCCAAGTTAACTTCATTTTAGGTGATCGGCCGATACTTGTAACTGAAACTGATTTCATCTACCTGATTTCATCTGTTAAGACGTGAAAACGAACCACTGTCCCGTTTTGTTCTATAGTGAGACCGGACTGACCCGCCCACAAGGTCACATCGGAACATGCGGGGTAAACAGCAGTCACCAAGCTGTTGCCAACTTAAGTGATTTTTACACTATATTTTGCCAACTTTTAGACAAAAAAACAAACAAAAAAACAAACAAAAAAACAAACAAACAAACAAACAGTCAAAACTGGAATCAGGCTTTATAAATATTGGTTGATCGGCCAGAAACCTGCAATCAGTGCAGCCCTACCGAATGGCGATGCATAGATTTTTGACTAAAATGAGAAACTGAGCCAATTTATCTCAACTTTCACCAAAATCTGTTGAAGTCCTTGACATTTGCATAATTTTGTTGCTCAGAAAAAAACAAAACAAAACAAAAAAAACCCCAAAACAGTCCTCCAAAAAAAAACAGGTTATCCCATTTCAAAGGGAACACCCTGACGTACAGTGCCAGTCGGAACTTGACATCCACCATCACAGGTTTGAATATCTTCAACTTTAGTGTTTCAGCGATGCGTTTAAACCACTATTTTTTCCAGAGTGGACTGATTATACAGCATGTTGTCAGGAGATGTTTAAAACAAGAACTGGATCGTTAAGTTTAAATAAAATGTGAATATTGTGATTTTTTTTTCCTAATCCACATCGCATCAAAATTACAGAGACCAAGGGAAAAAAAGCAACCAGTAATATTTGTTTGTAAATGCAGATTATATGTGCTACGGACCATGTGGATTAAAGATAATCCGCGTTACATTCAAACTTGTGCACTTAATTGTTGTTTTTATAAACACAGTCATTCCAACAGATTGAAATAAAACAATAAAAGCTCTAAATTATTGTGGCATTTATGTGCCTGATGAGTGGATGTAAACTTTTAATCAGGACAGTAGATCGACAGAGAGAGAGAGAGAGACTACTCTGATATAACAAAAGTGATCGAGGGACTAAACAGGAATAAATCTAAAACATTCTAAAATGAAACTAGTGTTAGTATTCAAATAAAAACTAAATAAATCATAAAAATTACACAGAACAGAGTTATCCTGTGGACTTTTTGGTGGTTCCTCTTGTCCTCTCATCTTCATTTCCCACAGATCGGTTAATAATTTATAAACATACTACATAAAATTAGTTCCAGCTTCACAATTCACCTACTTTACCTCAAACCTGCTACCAGAGTAATAAAAAAAACTACAAGAAACCACCTTAAAATAACCCAACGTTATGACTTCATCTTCTGGCTGGAAATGAGAGATGTTAGTGTCTTACCCAGAACCAGAACCAGAACCAGAACCAGAACTGGCCTGCTGCGTAGTCGCGCCACACGAACCATACCCTGTATCGGCACCTTGTGACGCCGCTGGAGAACCGTCCAGCCTGCTGGACGCTTTGTCAGAACGGAATACAAAAATTTGGAATTGTAAGTGTCAGTATTTTTTTTTCTTTCTTTCTTTCTTTTTTTTTTCCTTTGAGAGGGAGATTAGTTACTCCAGAACACTGCGTGTCTGAAACTCGGATTTTGTTGGATTGGATGGGGTCGGGTCAGGTCAGATAAGGTCGAGAGCGAGGTTCCGGATGACGCTGAACGCTCCGAGGTCAAAGCCGCAGATGCTGAGTAAGCCCCTGTCCTCTGTGTCTGCGATGGCGTGGCCGATGGAGGTCAGGCCGCACATCACCAGCTTGGAGTCTGTACCTGATGCCTGTAGTTGAGGAGGAAGAGAAGATTGTTTTGTTTGGAAAATTCTGGTTTTATAAAAAACACCCATCATCTCAAGACTTGTGTGTGTGTGTGTGTGTGTGCGTGTGTGTGTGTGTGTGTGTGTGTGTGTGTGTGTGTGGGTGTGTGTGGGACGGGGGGGGGCTTGGCCTTTTAAAATGAGCAAAGGTCGCTGGTACATGGAGTTCTGTGTGTTGTGAAATTAAATACAGTTCAGTTAACTGTGAAACTCCGTTTATGCTTCATGCATTAACATTCTGCACAGAATCAGGCTGACGGCTTCTGCAGCCCGTATTCTCCTAGACAGTAGGGGGCAGTGTAGGGCACCTATGACAACTGTAACCTGTTTAGAAGAGGTAGAATAAAAAAAACACACAGTAAGACCACAGCTAACAATTATTTTGGTAATTGATTATTCTATAAGTTATTCTCATCAGTTAATCGGATAAGATTTTTTATACAATATTAGAAATACATTAAAAGATGCAAATAAACTAATAATTCTAGTCTTTTTTTTTACATAAGAAAATCAACATTGGATTGTGTAAAATGCAATAACAGGTTTCCTTTGGTAAGTGCTTCATCATTTGGAGCACAAAATGCATTTAAAGCTGAAAAAAATTATTCTACTATCAACATGTGAAACGTTCAGCTGTTTCTGCTGGACTCAACATCAATACGGTGTTATTTTTTCCCCATTAATAATTGATAAAACAAAAGGTGCTTAAGATTTTTTTTTTTGTTACATAATTTGAACCAGGTGAAGCTAAAACTGCCACTGGGGTTCTGGGTTGGTTGGAATTTTGTAAGACTATCTTATTACAAAAATAAAGTAAAAAACAAAACAAAAGCAACTTAGACCACAACTTTTTTAAAAAGATGCAGCAAAATAAGTCGCTTTAGGCCACAACAATTCCCAAAACACATTGCGACATCCTGGAGGGACAGATTATTCTGTTTACAGTGAATTTACTGTAAATCTAAAACCTGAGACAACATTGTAGATGTTGCCAGCAGCAATGTGTTCAAATGTAGCTCATTTGCACTAAAATGCTTCAGCTGACAGAGTCAGGTAGTGAAAGAGCTAAAAGATCAAAGTGTCTCACAGAGACAAACCTACATGTCTGTGTTTCTTCAGAGAGTCCAGTGGGCTGGCCGTAAATGTCCAGAGTGGGTTGTTGGTCAGAATGATGAACATGTCCACAGACTTCCCATTTTCTGTGGCCCATGTGACAGGAAGGGTGCAGTCTGTGCTACCGCTGGGGAACTGGAAGAGAAACGTTCAACAGAAACATCTGTTATCAGGCTAACTGTGGCTCCAACAGGCAACAGTTGTGGGGTAAAAAAATAAAAAAGAATCCAGGTGGGAAATTGTCAAGTTTTCAATTCAGACAGGAGAGTGGCGCTCAATTACCACAAGTGACCTGCTGAGGGCAGCAAAGCGCCTCGGTTCCCACTAACGTGTTGCACGTGCATGGCAGTATGAGTGCAATTTCTTTAATTTTTCTTCAGTTTTTGCTATTTTATTGGTTACATTTAAAAGTTTTTGATCAAACAAACTTAAATGTCAGACAAAAATGCCCAGAATTAATACAGAATACAGCTTAAAGATGATGCTTTAGATCAGAGGTTCCCAAACAGTGGGGCGCGCCCCCTAGGGGGGGCGCCGTGTCATTACAGGGAGGGGCGCGGGAAGCCGTCTGGATGAAAAAAAAAACAAAACATGAACACTGTATGTGCTGGGTTTTTACCTTAGAATGGCCAACTCTCTGTTATTCCTCTGTCAATTTGATACAGTAGAGGCTTCCACACTTCCCATATTTGTGTCCCCTGTCACTTTTATCAACAGTTAAAACTGTTTAATCCGTTGTTAACATGTTGTAACCTGTTTTTCCGAGCCGCCTTTAAACGCAACATGAGCGCTACGGCTCGCGCTGGGTTTACACCTGTGAAGGAGACCTGCTGCTGCTGTGCAGAGCTACGTAGGTTTGTGTTAGAATCACGGCAGCAAACCAGCAAAACGCAAAGAACTTTTCACAGTTTTTCCCTCCAAACTAACCAACTGAGTTGAGTAAAGCTGTTGGATGAAGGTAATGTTAGCTAAAAGATGACTAGCTAATATCAATACAGAACCTTAAGCTTAACAAGGCTACCGATGTTGGTGTCTATTTTCAGCTACTGTACATTCATTTTGCCCCCCGTCAAACGCGTCCTTTAAACCAGACAGCCATTTGTAATCCATAGGGGGGGGGGGGGGGGGGGGGAAAATTTTTTGAAAACCCGGGGGGGGGGGGGGGGAAAAAAAAAAT